GCCAAATGATAATCGATCGTTATGCAGTGTGTATTATATTTCGTAGTTTTCTCCCTTTGTCTTGCCAAGGATATCACTTAATACACGCACTGCACTTAACGATCGATTATCATTTGGCTAGAGATCCTTTGTAGTTTTCTAACTTTGTCTTGCCAAGGATACTGCTTTGCTTTACACGTGCTCCACTTTGGGCGCCAACTAATATTATCGTCAAGAGGATATTAAAAAATATATTTTCTATTCGCGGACGCGCGGAAGAAATAAGAACAGGTGTTGTTCTTTTGATTGATATAATAAGAGTTCTCCTTTATTTTCAACTTACTATTATTTATATATTGAAATTGAAACTAGAACAAATAAATTACAATTTTTACTATTTAGCATATTTCCGCAGAACGTTAAGTGTTCTTTTTTGTTTACAATTATTATTGTTATGCCTCCATGTGAGAGTCACCAGTAATATTTTGATATGAATGGATTATTTCACTCAGAACAGAAAAAGCATATCAAATTCTTAAATCAACAAAAACGTTAATAAAGATTTTACTTATGCGACTGCATAACTACAAAAATTACGATACAATTTTATTTACAGGTACGGCAAAGCTGCTGTGTGGAGGCTGCCGTTAACTTGCATACTTATGTGCAAAGCCATTTATCTTTCGTGACTTACATTTTGTGTTGCCAAAAACAATCTAATAATCGAAATTGACTCCTAATACAAGCACATGATAAACATATCCGACTATTACAAAAACAAAATATCGATAATCAAATGTGCACAGCTAGCGAAAAATCAAAATTCACCTTTTCCTTTGAACACACCTCGTATATGGGTATATTTGTTCTAAGAGATTGCGTTGGTAGTGATGATTACTACCATTTTCTCTTATTGCACGCAGGTATACCATACGACTACTACTACTATCAGGCAAGAAGTCATATAGCACTGAAGCTAATGTTGCCCAATAAATCTTGGAAGAATTCGTTAATTTGTTTGAAAATATAGACGGAGACCATTTAGTTAGTTACAATATACATTTTACTCCATTTAGCTGCTTGTACTAAGTATTATGATGCTCTCGATAACTTTTCCGCTTATAAGTTTGAAAACTACATGCAATATTAAAGAAAACTTAAAAATATGGTAACCCCAATAAAGTGCTGCTGCAAATTCATTACAGAGAAAGAAATAGTTCAGAATTAAGTTGCAATAGCATTTCGAAAATCTATTCATTTAATAGAGATTTTAAGAGACGAAAAGCCTCTTATTGTTTTAATCAAAAATTAGGACCCATAAAAAGTATAGACATGACAGACGAATCTGGTAGCGTTGTAGTATCAACGCATTGATTCTTGAATGCCGAAAACTAGTTTCAAAAAGTAGTTACGTATTGCTGAAAACTAGTTTCAAAACATTAGAATCGTCATCAGTTTAAGTATTTTGTTTAAATTAATGAAATCCACTTTTTAAATAGAAAAGCCGATAAAGTTATAAATATTTTTATTCTACATGAGGGTAAGTTCTTCTATTCCATTTTCGTTCATGTCGGTCAATTTAGACATTTGATGGTACATAAATTCACAACTAGCCAAAATTGATGAGATTTTAATATAATTAAAATTTCAAAGTTCCCATCTTTCCCTTGTTTTTATAAAAGAAAATAA